CCTGAAAATACTTTCACAAAAGATTGTCAAGTGCTTTTTTGAACAAGAAACAGCTTTATATCTGTGAGAGCATAATCTCCTCTCCATATCTCAGCTCAAAAAGTTCACAAGTGTACATCTATATTAATTCTTTGCAATTAACACTGCCACATACCGATTTCAAAAAAGGCAAGATACCCAACCCAGACTGCGTTTCCAGGCACACTCTAATGGAATGCCCTTTCCCAGAGGGTTTCAGTCAGATGCACATACATGGCTTACCTAAGTTTGGCACGGAACTGGACAACATGCTGGGGAGAAAAAGAAATGAGAAAAAACAATTAATTACATGCAAACATATTAAAACAGCCGTCTTAGTGACTGTTCTGGGGGCTCAAAGGAGAGTCTACATTCAGGCTCTCGAATGCTTCAGATGATAAAAGAAGTTATGTTCTCACCCTCCCCCAATGAGCAATTAAATCATTTAAAGGGTTAATTTGTTCTTTTATATTATGTGTCTTCCTAACATACCCTTGAATACTTTTCAGACCTCCATAGCTACAGAGTCCAAAATGGTTATTGTGGGAATGCTGCAGTTGAACATGCCTATTCAAATACTCTCGAATGCTTCAGATGATAAAAGAAGTTATGTTCTCACCCTCCCCCAATGAGCAATTAAATCATTTAAAGGGTTAATTTGTTCTTTTATATTATGTGTCTTCCTAACATACCCTTGAATACTTTTCAGACCTCCATAGCTACAGAGTCCAAAATGGTTATTGTGGGAATGCTGCAGTTGAACATGCCTATTCAAATACCGCAATGAATGCTGCACATCATGTATTTATCCATAAGCCAACAGGCAGTCATTACAAAGGCTACCACCACCACTACCACCATTAACACAGCAGTGTTTGGAACTCTTTTCTGTGCTACAGGGTGACAAAGTGTGAAAGCTTAAGCAGCATATGGTAGCTGCTTATAATAATCAAAATTCAGCAGTTTTGCAGCAAGAAAATGCTAAAGAGTGAGAGAATAACAGAGGAAATAGAACAAGTGGTCCTGTGGCACCTTAGAGACTAACGCAAATATATAGTAACATGAGTTTTTGTGGATAAAATCCAATGCATCATATGATGCGCTGGAATGGAAATAGAGTAAGAATGGACTTAAAGAAATGAGGTAAGTATGCATTTATCTTTGGGAAGCTATGTAGCATTTATCCTGCCTTGACAGTTATCATCACTCTTGTTTTTTTCCCCAGTTAAAAGTTATATTCATTCAGTTAAATCATTAAAAAAAGGAGTTGGTTGAGGTCATAGATTAGTCTGGCATAAAAATTTCACTGAAGTATATAGAAGGATTTTCTCTGACTTCAGAAGCCCTCGCCCCCCGATGATTATCATTTAATTCCTCTTAAGGCAAAAAGGAGGGGAGAGTGAAGCCATTGATATCGGTGCTCCTAAGACTGATGGATCAGACTAATCCTTGTTCTGACCTCCCATGGATGTAAATCCAGACCAACTTCCCTGCAGGTATACCATTGCAAGTGTGGATCTTAATTGGTGATTTTTTTTAAATTGCAGGGGGAAGAAGTCAGATTCCTACTTTCATTTCTCTAAAAAGGAAGCATGTATTTCAGGAGTAAAACAGATGCCCCGAGAACAATTTTTAAAAGTTGTAGATTAACAGATAGGATGTACTGATCACCTATTCTTAATGGGAAAAAACCATTATCCTTAGATTCTTTAAGGTTGCTAACTCTGGGTAGGTCTACACTACCACCCTAGTTCGAACTAGGGTGGTAGTGTAAACATACCCTCATATAGTAACAATACAAAGGTTTCCTCTCCCCCATATAAATTTGAATTAAAGAAGATCTTTGCCTACCCAATGTAAAAAGGAAATATATTAAAAGCAATTAAGTTATCTTCTTCACTAATCTACATCAGTCCAATTAGCTTTGATTATTGGATCACCACCACAACCCAAGCCAATCAGCAGTTTGGAAGGACATGTACGTCCTCATGCTTCAAGACATTATTCAATCTATGATTTAGGATCTAGAAAGAAATGTGGATATTATTGCATAGTTGACATCTTCAGGGTTTCTTGCATTTTTTCTGAACTGTTTGGTGCTGTCCATTGTCAGAAACAAGATAATAGACCAGATGCACTCTACATTTGATCCATTATGGCAAATCCTATGGAACAGCTGGTGGCCATAAAGGACATTAGGCAGATTTTCCAAAAGCAAGTTGTGTCCAGAACGATGCACTTTTCTCTTTCATAGTTTCCAGACATGAACCAACAACATTTTCTTACCGGTGGTTTTCCTTCATCTTGGCATTCTTCAGTTTAAGCTTGTCTTTCTTGAAAAACTTTCCAAATTTCTTTAGCTTTTCTATTCCATCCAAACTAGGTATGAAGAAAATACATTAAAAAAATTAAGTCTTATGGAGAAATGTCTCAATCTTTGCAATCTCCAACAGTGAGCCAGATACCCCTGGGAAGGGTGCATGAAGCTTCATTCCATACATTGAAGAGTGACCTTACAGAGCTAATAATTGGAAATGCAATTGGTAAAACATCCGCTAATGTCAATACAGAACCAAAAAAAGTCAATATTCCTTCTATAATTGTAAAGTATGTACTTGTATCCAATAGTAAACAGGTATGTTACATAGAAGTGCATTCAGTAGCTTGAAGACAAAAAAGGCATATAAATGGCAACTCACTCTAGTTTGAGTGGATTATGATCTTCATTGTGAATATCCTCATATATTTTGTCACAATTGTCTTCTGAAACTTAAAACACAAAAACAAAAAAAAGGATGTATTCACAAATCACATTCAATGGCAATAATCTTCAAGATCTGCTAAACAGAACAAAAGTAGCTTGAGAAGAGGAGAACTTAACACTACATTGGCTATGGCTTTTAAGGTTCTGAACTAGCCATGGGATTTCCAGCTCACATGGATGTAGTCATGCTACTGTTCATCTGAGCTAACACACTAAACATAGAAGTATAGCTACTACAGCACCAACTAATGGCTAGAATACAAACCTACCCGATCCCCACAGTCAGTCAACGTAAACTGGGAATCAGACTCCCAACTTGTAGAAGAGAGTGCAACAAAAATTCACAGGAGACCGTTTATTCCCTGGTGTCACATTGCTGAACATTCAACATCGGAAGTGATCAATAAAGGAATCCAAGAAGCTCATGTATTAATAAAATGGGTGTAACAATGGAATGTCCAACACAATACACAGGCCTTTTTTTGGTTTGGTTTGTAAATCTGTTTGTCTTAAAAACACTAGGGATTTAAAGTTGCTATAAAAAGGTATTACAAACAGGTAACTAAAACTGTAGAGGCTAAGGCATAAAACAGGTCTTGCACATCAGCTGAAGGAGTAATTTTATTAAGCTATCAAAATTCACCCAATGAATGGCATTAGGATAATATTTGACTAGCATAAGACTACAGTCACATCACCCTATGAATCCTGCTAAGAAAGGTCTGTCATGCTACCAGAAAAGTGGTAGGTTTAATGGTGGCATTTGTGATTTTGACTCCTAACAATACAGGCTTAGAAATTTTAACTAAGATTACTTAAAATTGGCAGAGAGGGGCAATTATGGATGAAATTCACTATAGCACATCCACATGGACTAGTGAACTGGAGTAAAGGTTCAACAATATACTGGTGGAAAAATCCTGTTCCCAGTTCCAGAAGCATAGAGATTTCCACATGGGAAGGGAAACTAACAGCTCTGAGAAGGCAGAACTGACAGGTAGAACCAAACCTGGGACCTCAGCAGCTTAGTGCATGAGCCTCTACAGCTTCAGCTAAAAGCCAGCTGGCTCTCAGCTCATGCTGTGGAGCAAACACATTCTCTCCTGCTCTCTGTAAGTGGTCTAAGTATCACTCCACGGGACAATGAACCATGTCCAGCAGGGTGTGGGTTACACAGGCAGCTTTTGGAGAGGCCAAGTAAAAGGTGTAAACTAGCCATTCTCAAGAGCACAGCAGAACGGTTCAAGGGTTGGAGACCAGATCACCACCATATCAATGCTAAAGTCAGTCTACTCTTGTATTTCAATGGGAGTAGCAGCTGCAGCGAGCAGCTTAGGGGTAAGAGGAAGAATTCTTTCCTTGCTGTATTGGCAGAGATCTTAGTGCCCCCGCACACTTTCCTGGGGTGACTGGAACTTGGCAGAAGACCAGACCTTAGCGTGTGGTTCAAGTATTGCACAGGGCCTTGTGCAACTCATTTTTGCTGGGATGAGTGCCATTCCCGCCACAAGATGCACCTTTTTAAAATGGAGACCTGCCTCAGTGTAATGAATGCTTCCCCAAGTTCAAACTTCCCAACTCGGTCATACTTACAGCTATCTGATGTGAATGAGCTAAAGGCATCAGAGGCTTGGCTCCTGGAAAATGAAGTGTCAAGATAGTTTGATATAATCAGTTTACTTTACTGTGGGTTTTAGAAGACATGTCAAAACCTAGTTGTTAACATGTACTCACATTGCACTTTCTATGCCTTCTACATCATCATACACATCCTCTGCTGGCTGCATTGGCTTCAGAATCTTTCGACTCGAAGCCACCACATCTTCATCTGCGTGCGGGTGGATGCCTTGAAAGCAGTCAGCTGAAAATGAAACAGCATCTTGCCTTAGAAGTTCTTCTGATCATCTACAATCAGGTCAAGGATAATCATCTTTGATAACACATGGCTATGTATGCCATGATAAATAAGTCAGCAGCAGCAGAAGCCAAACTTCCTTAGATCTAGAAATTCAGAAGAGTCTTTGATTGCTCTAAGCTGCTTTGAAAGAAAAGCAGAGAGTCTTAAAGACTTTTTAGAGATTTACTAGTTAGCTCAATACCTGCAGTCCTCAGTTGTGTTTTTTTATTTTTTGAACTGCAAGAAACAAAATAGGATTTAAAAAAGATATATGAGCATTTACTGAAATAAACGAAGGACTACATTTATAGTATCTTTGATGGGGTTGAGATGGTTTAAAGAGGAAGGATTAACAGATTACCTCAGCACAAGGAATATACCTATACATTATAGTAGAGGAAAAATAAGTCTCATTTGTGATTTTAGCAGAAGTTTATTGTACTGAGAACTAGGACAGTGAAGTGTGTGATGTTTTTCAATTAGGAAAAAAAATAGCCAACTCTATAGACACCACTCCAACAATGGTAGGTCTAATGTTGAGCATTTGACCAGAACAAAATGTCTATTGGTAAACTCACACTGAAATATAGGTAAGGCTCTACAAAAAAAAGTGTGGATTTTCTTTTGGTTCAAAAGTTGCAGGCACAGTTTGTTGAAGGTGAGATTTTGGAATGCTCAATTCAGATACCATTTTAAAAAAACATGATGCTTTTATATACTTGCTTTCAAAATGGATTCACCAGCCCTGAGAGCTCATTGTCTTACATACTTCAGCACTTTATTTCAAGGCACGAAACCTGCTTCCTATGCAGGGCAGCAGCACAGAACAGATGTTGCATGTCCCACTGACTTGAGGGCAAACATGACAGAGGTGGCCACCCAAATTTGAGTTCTGTTGCTACCTCATTCACCATTTTGTAACCCCCACTCTGATCAACATTTGGCTCAGTTGCAGAGAGGAGCTGGACAAAATTTGAGGGAGTGCACCCAACCTTGCAGTGCCAGCTCCATTCAAATTTGTGGCAACTATAGATTTAAGAAACGTGCATGCGTCTGTTCATCCCTGAGCCTGTTTGTTCAAGGACTCCTCCTAAATGGTAAGAGCTAGGACCAACAAATTTGGTAGGCAGCTTCCTCTTATCATAACTTTAAGCTAGATAAGGGTGTGGTCGTGCCAAAACAATGGGATGTGCCTGGAATTCAATCATGTTTCCCATAAAATGGGAAGAGAGGAGTCTGGTAGGAGGGAGTTATACTGTAGAATGACCACAGGGGGTGGCAAGAGGCTGGGATAGAGAAAGGAACAGCTTTCTATTATATATTTCAGAGAGTTTGCCTGTTCCCTGACTGGGGGACAGAGAGACACATGAACCCCTCCCCTGGCTGAGCCTGCTACAGTGGCCAAGGACAGGTGCTTCTCACCTGTCCCCAATCTGCTACGGTGAGAGAGGGCTGGGGTTGCCCTCTTTCTCTGGGGCAGCCTGCATACCAAACCCCTCATCTTCAGCCCCTCCCCAAGGGAATGATTTTAAATTAAGAAAAACAAAAAATGTATCCGAGTTAAGAATCCAAGCAATGATGGGTAAATCTACTATATACAAGAAAAAAACCCAACACTGGTGAGTGTTCAGTTATGGCCCATGATTTTCTTACAGCCTTAAACATTGGTTAAATAGCCTCAAAACACTAAATTTATTGAAACAAACAAAAAGAGATTAAGACTTTATGGCCTCCTATAGGTTGAACTTTAAATGGATACTTATGAACTTTTACCTTTTGAAATTAGGCATAACTCAGAAAAATGTGAAACAATTCAATGGTGTTTGAGCGGGGGAAGGTTGTTGTTGTAAGAAGGTACCATGATGCAAATCAAGAAAGGTAGACTGCCACTACTATCAATCATCCTTGCTGAGATATAAGACCACATTTGACAGTGATCAAATAAGTGGTCAATTGAGTAGCTTACCAAGCTGACTTTGGCCTTTAGTGAGTTAGAAAGAAAAAAAAAAGGGTTGGATTTGAATCTAGCCCTTCATTTCCTTTGCTTTTATTTTTTATAAAGCTAATGTCCAACATAAATATGCATTCTGTCTTGGAGATGAAATCTTAAAAGCTTCCTTTTAAAATCAGAAAAATTTTGGTTTGCATTTGACACAAGCCAAAATGTCCAGGGGGGTGAAAAATAATTTATTTGCACAGCTGTTTTCAAAACACTAAGTCAGGACAATCTAATTAGAACAATTTTAAAAAAAGATACAAAAATGAGTGTCCATACAGTATTGTGTGTTATTTTAACTACTTTAAAGTTACACCATCAGTTAAACCAGCCTAACTCTCTGACAGGCAAGGCCTTAAAAATTAAGTTAAAAAAAAACCCCACCGGGTAGACGTTTGAAGGAACATTGCAATAAAAACAAAGGCAATGAAATACTCACAATGTTCTACCATATCTTTAGCCAGCCATTTCTCAGTCTGTAGGACATCAGATGCCTCTCCCTTCTTAACTTGCAGCCTGCTTTTCCCACCTTCATGGTCTTCATTTATTTGGGGTTTATGTAGCATGTCCTCACGGCCACTAATCTAATGAGATAATTTAGATGTGGTTAGTGCAGTGTTTGAATCAGATTCCTAATTTACAAGTAAGATGGGAAGATTATAGCTAAACTATTAACCCACTATATCAGAGCAAAGAAATAATAGATTATGTGCAAGACAGAGACATAAATAGCATCAGTTGTATTACTAACCAATATCATGAATGGGAGAAAACAAAATATTTAAAAATGTCCCTAGTCTGCCCTCATTTGGAAGACTGAATACTGCTTCCAATCCTTGGACCAAAAGCTAATTTTATTGTGCTTTAAAAACAAAAATTTGCATTATACCCTATTCCCTCCCAACAATGCACCTAAATACATAAAAGGACATCTCAATGACACATTACCGTGGACATATTCACTTGCTGTTGCCTTTCTCTATCAAAATCCAGTTTCCATTTGTCTTCTTTTTCATCCTTTGTGACTCGTTCAGTGCTGAAATATTAAAAGATGTACACACAAACTCAGGCTAAGATGTACATGTTAATACAGTGCATTTCCCCCTTACTTTATTTGTTAGAAAAGATAGGATACTGCATTGTGTGGAGAGTATTATAATCCATAATGCCAGCACTAAAATCCAGTTCAGCTGTAACATGCAGACAGACCAGATGGTAAATGAGAGCAATACTATTCACAGCACTGTTCAAATTTTGAACAACAGCCAGCTAGGAGGAATGTACTTTGACAATTGGCAGTCCATAGACGGGAATCATTGCTGATGACCTCACCTGGGTCAACATGCCCAAATGTCAGTAACTGGTTGGTGGTTTCACATGGCTGACCCTAGTCCAGGTTTGTTACAGTAACTTTGAACTACACAGAAATAAATGAATCCATGTATGTATATAAACAAGGTAACAGTGAGGCAAAGATGAGGAAGAGTATAGCCAATGACCTTGTGGGTTATCAAAATATAATTCTTGTCACCTCTCCCATATTTATTCTAGTCAGCTCATCTGGCTAACTTTGTGTTTAATTCTCATGGACATGTGAGACACATATTAGAATGGGTGAACCAATGCTGACGTGTTTCTATTTGAATATCCCTCATGCTCTCCCTCATGCAGTCTCCACCTCCTGTTTGTTTTCCCTGATCTCCCAACTATGCCCTTTCTTCCACAGTCCCCTCTACAGTCGCCCTCACATCCTACTGCATAGTCCCAAAGCCCACGCTCAAGTATGTTTACTTGTGAAATCATTTTGGTATCCTCCTGATCATCCAAGATGCTTCTGTGGTACAAGGTCTCGCCTTGTTCTATTCCCAAATTGCTTCCCTCCCCCCATAACAAAATCCAATTTATCATGCTACAACAGCCTCTATTAAAGCAAGCAGGTTACCAAGCCACAGTAATTACTTTTACTGCAGTGTTTGAAGTATGCATTTTTACTCTTAAAATAGTCCAGGGTGAACTTCAAAAGTAGCCTTTTTTCCCCCTTTATCATATCTAGTTAAAGAGCTGGACAATTAATTCCAAAGTAGAGCTAGTTAGAACGTTTTCCATTATATGAAGTTTCAGTGAAATTGAAATGTTGTGTGGTGACATATTGGTTTTGATGAAAAATTCGTTTAAATTTATTTTGGGTCTGGGTTCAGAGATGGTAGAATCCCTACTGTGTGAGTAACTCAAATTAACATACCTTAGATCTACTTACAGTAGGATCTACACTGCACTGGGTTACCAAGGGTATGTCTAGACTACATCCCTCTGTCACCAGAGGAATGTAAATTAGACATAACAAAATTGCTAATGAAGCGGGGATTTAAATATCCCATGCTTTATTAGAATAAAAATGGCCACTGCTTTTTGCCAACACGGCAATTTGCCGGCAAAAAGCGGCAGTCTAGATGGGGATTGGTCGACAAGGAAAGTCTTTTCTGACCGATCCTGTAAACCTTATTGCACAAGGGATTGGTTGGAAAAGGCTTTCCTTGTTGACCGTTCCCCATCTAGAATGAAGCTTTTTGCCAGCAAATTGCCGTGTTGGCAAAAAGCAGCGGCCATTCTCCTGTTCCACGTTAAAAAGCACAGGTTTCAGGGGGAGTGACATTTTGACAATTCTGCTTTTTTGCAAAACTATTTGAGAGATCATTTTTATTCTGCATTGGAATAAAAATAAAGTCTGAAACCTTGAAAATTGCCAGAAAATGGAATTATGTTTACAAGTGTGTTTGTGGAATTTTACTGTATTTCTCAAATTATTTTGTAAATGCCTTATAGGTTATTCTCTCAGGTCTATTACAGAGCTAAAAAGGCCATTTCCCTTTGATAAATCTGTTCTTAGATTAGCAGAAATAAATTTAAAAAAAAAGTAATGATTCAAATAAATTAAGTTACCTGGATGAATCAAACAGAAAACTCTTCTGCTTCTATTCAAAGAGAAAGTAAAAAACAAAAAAATCCTTCACTTATTACACCTTGGTCACTAATAAACCAAGTTTATACAATGCTTAAAGCCACTCAACATTGATATTTTAAAATGTATTTCTGTATAAACAATATTAATCCAGATAGTGCACAATATTTAGAAATGAGCTTTTATGATTAATAAAAACAGGTTCTTTATTTTCTACAATAAAAGCAATTTTAAAAAAAGCATGTATTGACCCAAGTAATTAATTGCTTAATAAAAAAATAAATAAGGAAGCTAGTGGTCAATGCACATACTGACTTTACTCTGGTGAGTCATTTCAAGATGGGGCTAGCTATTAAATAGAAGTCTTGAGTCACAAAAATCTTTCTAAATATAATTAGCTTTATTATTAACCATTTGAAAAAAAGAAAGTCAAACCTTCTCTTCTACTGCTTTAAAGATAAGCTACTTGGCCTAATGTATCACTTCAGTTTGAAATTGGACTTCACTTAAAACTTTTTTTTTTTTAGCATCTTTTCTCCCTCCCCTCCCCCCCCATATGTCGTTTGCTGTTTTGGAATCCAATTTAAGAATTCCAGAGGTTATGTCCCCACGTGATTTTCCTTCATGCATAACAGAACCAGAAGTCCCACTCATAAGAATTTTCTGACACCAGCTGAAATATTTTCTTCCATACCCATCAACCACTGGCTAAATGTTGTTGTGGCAACATTCAAACACAGTTACCATCAACTCTGTGTGTAGTGAATTGCCAGTGGCATCTTATCTTGGAGAGAGGTTTACAGACTAGTTTCCCGGCATTTCCCCTATGCAATCTTAAAATGCTCAGAAAACTACTCAAGACTTGTTGGATATAAGACATGCTGTTAAGTTTAGACTGTATCACTTACTTTAAATTTGAAAAGAGCGTGGCTAGGATTTTTAAAGAAAGCTAAGGAAATGGATTCCACAGATCCCACCGGATGGGCACATAAGTCTCAGTATATTATGTGTCTAGTCACAAATTTCCAAGGCATCAAAACAGAGATTTATAAGGTGTGTTGGTGCTATAATGTCAGGTGAGGGTTACAGAAGATAACCTACCTTGTCATCCTCTTGGATTCTTGTGCTAGATACTAGAATAAAGATTTACAAACAATTACTGCATTTAATGTTCAGGATGGATAGGTAATCTTCCACAGTTTTAAAGCCATTGAACTACAGCCTCTGAAAGGATACTGTTGCTATAGAGAAGACTGACTCACATGTTCAGCTAAGGGTACTCTAAGTCAAATGGGAACAAACACTCACTTTTGCAAGGTTTATTGGCCCAACTTTCTGTTCCCTGATTTAGGATTGGTTTGTTCCCTGCTCAATCTTCGCATGGGCCTTGGATCAAACAGAACCAAAGAATTGGCCTGTCTCAACCACAGCCCTGAGTAAGTAAGAGGTATTCTGTTGAGAAGAAATGCGGAGGAAGATCTATTAGGTAGAAGAACAAAGAAGAGGAGGAATAAATCTGACAGTGAGAGAGAGAGAGAGAGAGAAAAATTAAACTGACATAAATCATAGGGGAAGGAAGAATTCCAGGCATTGGAAGTGGCACTTCTCCCTCCTCCTTCCCAGAAAAAAAAAAAAAAAAAGGGAGTCTGAAGACTGCCACGTTAATGTCACCTTGTTTCTCCCTAGTCCTCAACACTTCTATAGGGCAACAGTTTAAGTGACTTTTTGTTCCACTGCAATTCTACCGTCAGCCTCACCCACCATGTTTCTATAACTCCATCAGACACATTTTCAGTCTCACACACAAGTCTGTTTCCCTCTAGAGGTGGAAAGGATAGGTTATGTCGTAAAGCAAGAACATTCAGCTTTAGGGGCATTTTGGTGAAAGACTAACTCAGATTTGCTACTGAGCTATTAGGGGGAACCATGCCATTTCTATCTATGCATATAATTAACTGGCATAATAGACTTACAATTAACAATATCTTGAAGAGCACATGTCGTTACAGAGTTTCCAGATTGTTTCACATAGGAGATGGTTTCTTCATAATTATGTAGTTCTTCAGATTTAGCGCTAGGGAATAATGAGAGAAAGAGGGGGAGACTTTTTAAAAATCTGACAAATGAATGCTAATTAAGAGCTAAATGCACAGTCTCATGCTACATCTATTCTAGAATGTAGACTGTTTAACCATAAAATTATCCAGTTGAAATACACCATGCCCACGTAAAGCCAGAAGTTACTGAGTTTTGTATAAACACAAAAACTCACAAGGGATGTGTAGACCCTATCAATGTATCCTCCAAATACACACAACTTGGGTCCACCATGCTACCTGAGTACAGAACAAAAGGCAGCAGCCATGACTTCACTAATAAATTAACACGACTTTGCAAGGAGCCCGAGGACACTTTGTATCACCAAAACTTAGGTAGTCAATACACCAAGTCACACTAGTGTTCTCTTGAAATTACGCATGGAAATCCTCAGGGCACTGATGGGGAGAGCTTACGACACTAATAGGTTGCTTGTGCACAGAGACCATAGCCTGTCATGCCGCTCAACAGTGCCTCCTTATTTTCTTATACTTCCCCATTGATCTGTCTGTATCACTCTGTTGTATTTTGACATACTTAGGTTGTAGTCTCTTTGGGGCAGGAGCTATCTTTTTGTTCTATATTTGTACAGCACCAGCACAACAGGATCTTGGGGCCCTTCAGGCCTAGGAGACTACAAACCTTACTATATATTTTAGAAATGTGCATCTGTCTCTCTGTCCATGAACGCCTCCTAAATGGTAAGATCTAGGCTCACCAAATGTGTATACAGCTTCCTCTTACTATAGCTTTAAGCAAGGTCAGGATTAAGGATGTGAATGGGAAACCAGTTAACTAGTTACCAAGCGATGCTTGCCGGGTAACATTTAACTGGTGCCTGGGACAGCTTCTGCCTGCAGCCTGCCACAGGCAGGAGGGCTGGGCCAGGGACCTGGATCAGGTGGCTGACAGTAGCAGCAGCCCCAGGACCCCACTTAATCTGTTAAACATTAAATATTAGGTTAACCTAACATTAAACAGGGATTTTACATCCCAAGTCAGGTTTTGGTTGTGCTAGGATAATGGGATGTTCCTGGTATTCAATTGTTTGTCATAAAATGGTAAAGGGAGGGGTCTGGTAGGAAGCTGTTATACTGCAGAATGGCCACGGGGTCTGGGAAGGAGCCGGAAATGGGCCTCAGGACAGCCAAAACAACTCCTTTGGACCAGCAGGGGGCAGGGATGAGAAAGAGACAGCTATCTACTACAATATACTGCAGTGGTCCCCAACCTTTTGGGGCTGCCAAGCACCTGGGGGCAGAGGTGCACATGCGCCGCACGCCCAGGGGCAGCACCTCACATGTGCCACGTGCCCGAGCGGGGGCTGCGCATGCACCACACGCCCGGGGCGCAAGAATGGCTCGGGCCAGCCCTGGTCACTAGGTGTGCACACATAAATGCCCCGGCGGGCACCATGGCACCCGCGGACACCGCATTGGGGACCACTAATATACTGTATATAAAAATCAGAGTCTGTCTGTTTGTCCCCCAGCTACCAAGCTGTCCTTTCCCAGCTTCTAATACGTAACCACAAGAACAGCAGAGACTTTTGCATTTTAGAGTCCAGACTGCTTTTTTCAAGTGCAGTTACTGACAGTTCTCTACAGGGTGGGGCCCAGCCAGGTGCAGAAGTTTCAGCTTCCTCACCACTACTGAAATTGAATAGAAGCACTGAACCATAGACATTTTTACTTGGGATGGGGGAAGGGAGAGCAGAAACCACACACAGCTTGAAGTCCAGTTCTAGCAGACTCTGAACCAGTTTAAGTGGGAGAGGCTTTGTGGAGAGCACACAGTAAATAGACAAGGTTTCAATTTCTGCACATTAATGCAATTTTTTAGTGAGGTTTTGCACTTGGCATTAAAAAAAAAAAAGAGACAATTGGATAGGTATAGGAGCGTGCACATTGGAGGATGAAATAGTGATGGACAAACACCATAAAAAGTTTTACTGAAAGCCAACTGACAAGGTATTTTAACAGAGAGTCTCATCAGCCTCAACAGAAAACCATTTCTGGAACCTTTAGGCTGTCACTCTGCTGCCATTAAATGTAGTAGGAACGTTGAGTGTGTTTTAAGCAGAAAAAAAGTCAGATGGTAAAAGAAACTAGCAAAAATAAAATACTGAAGTTAGCGCTAGAGACACAACTATTAAAAAACTAGCCTTTTCTTTTGTGAAACAAGACTCCCTACCACCCATATTTATTTATTAGTGGATCTACCAGAAATTAAGCAAAACTTGCATATGGGAGTGACACAATGCCTTGTTGTTCAGTCACTTTATGCATTCATTGCAAATTGTGCTATACAGCATGAGGAGGGGAGAGCAACACCCACCAGCTCGCACCCCATGTGCCAACACACCATGTCCCACTCTGGTCCAGAGCACTATCCAATCCCACACACTGGTGGCTGGTGCTCTTGTGCACTCCTTCTGGCCTCTGCCCAGGTTCTAATGCCCTGTCCTGTCTCCCACGTTACCTTGGGAGCTGGTTCACATGCTCCTGAGTTTGCCCCAGGTTTCTCCATAGGACTCTGTGGTGGCCAAAAGGCAGGACCAGATTCTTACCTGCTCCCTGGTGGCCAGCCTGATCCCATGTATTCCAACAACTGCTCCATCCCTTCCTCCAGGTCCCACTCTTGCCCCCACCTCCCTTCCTGTCGGCATGCACATGGGGTGGGACATAGTCACATCCTCCTCTTGCCTCCATGAGATGTTGTGGAAGCAGAAACTGCTCAACCCCCAAATATTTACATTTCAAGGGCTCTAGCCATCCTGTGCTTCTTCCCCCCTCCCGCTCCCCATGCACCAACATCATGCAGGATTTCAGCTGATGGCCCAATGAATGTTTCCCACAGGAAAATTCACTGTGGTAGACAGGGCTGTGTTAGACCCTGTGATCAATGTGGAGTGGACAAATGCAAGCAGCCCTGTAACCACTGCACCTTCCACATCCCTACGTGATCAGTTTGGGGTCTGAGATCTTTTGTGAGACTTGGTCTATGGACAGGCATAATTTGGTTGTGCAAAGTGTCCATAGTCTCATTCCAAACGCTATGAGAATGTCAGTCATTAAAGGAAGCATAGCTATTGCCTTCTGTTCTAGACCCAACTTATGGGGTGGGGATGGAACATGGGTAGATTTCTATCCCCCCCCCATGATTTCTATCTACATAAACCCCAAGAATTTGGTCTTATGTGGCCAGATTGAATTGCAACTCAAGTTGGATCATTTCACAGTTTAATATTTAACAACCTACTATCACTCCTATTCAGAGTCCAAGGTATCTAATCATTGCTGCAATATATTTGAACAATTATTTCAAAACAAGAATTATATTGCTAATAAACAGTGGGTCACGTGAAGAATAAAGTCTCTTCCTGCTTGGTGATATGAGGAAACTTGGTTAATTTATAAACTGCTTACATCAATGACATTTGGAATGTGTGTGGTATTTATTGTAACAGATTGAAAATTACAATTACACCCTATTCATTTCCCCCTCTCTGTTATTTAAAGTATATGAATTTTCAGTTGAACCATTATATTCCTTTTTGTGTGTATTCATCCATGAATATTCATGAGAAAAAGGGTGCGTGTCCACAGAAACATTCTTGCCCAAAGCGATACATGTATGGTGTTTGCTTTTTACAGATAGTACAGGCAAGGCGTGAACCAGTTCCAGTTTTCAAGTAATGCAGCCAAATTACCACAGGACTTTTTTGTTTGTGATGTAATTGGTCAGTTAAAAGCAAACAGCCAAATGGTGAACCACCAATTGCTGTAGGTATATTGGCATAAGATTTTTGAACAGTTGCAAATAAATAGACATATCAAAATGTGCCCTTGCCCCATGGTTTTAACATGTATTTCCCCAGGTTTTTAAAATAAGCAAACAGGAAAAAGTAATTCCATCATATGGAAACATGAACATCCAAATCCATGTGGACCATCAGCAAGGCTGGAACCTTTAGGTCTGCTACACAGACTGCCGCCATTTGAACTAAAATGTCTAATGGAGAGTAGTAGTAGGTCATCATCCTCTGTGAGGGTGAGTAACTAGCAGACATGAGAGACACTGATAGCTGGTTTCAGAGATTTCCTGACAAACATGTTGAAACGTAGGCATCTTGGGGAGCAAAAAGGGGCACATTCTCTTACAGAACCCAAAATGGAATCCATTTACCTACCCCAAGATACATTCCTTCTACCCAGCCCTCTTAACTCTTCACCAAAGTCCCTCAGTATAGCCAGTTCTGGTATTCTCTCTGGGAGGCTCTAAAGGCCTTGGTGTAGTTGCGTTGGTACCAACCTTTTGAAGCAGTGATTAATCTTGAAAGCATCAACTGAGGCAAACCTGACTTTCTACTGCTGACACTCAGGGGATCATCAGTGTGGCTATTCCAACTGCCAAATTAAGGCCATTAATGCGGATACTTAGCTTTAAGCATACAAGTAGTCCAAAGTACCTAGGAATCAATGTACTGCTACAGGTTCAAAGGGGTACCTATGAGGTGGCCAGTTGAGAACTCTAGCTACACAGAGCCCATTCCAAAAATCACAAATATTAGCAAATGCAAAGCAGGGAGAGGGAGCAAAATTTCACATACCTTAGGTCTGCTGCATAAACAGAACAAAAGATCAAAATCATTTTCCGCTGACAGATAAGGATAACAGTAAATCTCCAGCACCTGCAGATTATGCCAGGTCTTTGTTTCAGCAACAATTCTCAAAGCATTTCACTTCTGAAACTTCAAGCTAGAGAATGTGGGAAGCGAGGAGGTGGTTGGGAGGGGATACCCACATACACGTGGGTGGTAAACAATCTGCTTTGAAACCAGATGACAGCTTGTCAGAAAGCGTGTCATGTAGTGTTTACTGCAGACAAAACAAAAGAGTACTAGCAAGAACCAGCTACACACACAAGCGCGCACAAAGGGAAGTTTAGCCTTTGTGAAGTTCAGAGAGAGCAGAGGACAGGAAATGAGTGCAAGGCCCCCTGCTGCAAGCATTTTTTTTTTTAAGCGTGCTTTTCTTTGCAAGGTCAATTCACAAGCCACCTGTGACCCTTGCTTTCCGAGTTGAAATATCTCCAGTTATTACTGCATGACATTCTAAAGACTTAGGAATTACAACATTTTCCTTCCTTTGTTGTTGTAAAGTTTACAGCTTTCGTGTAGGCTTTAAGACGTTATTGTATGCGTGTACCAGGTCTACACCTAGAACTGAGAGGGTAAGTTGGTTGCTAGCCATTCGTATCTTAGACTCAGTAAATAGGCCGCCAATGAGAGGGTCAGATGGGAGAAGGGGGAGTAAGGACACACCTACTTCTACAAGGAACACCAAACTCAGTTCACACTGGCAAGAAGTAACACCAACCCAGAGACCTGGCCAGGCTCCTGTCAAACAAATAATCTAGCAAGAACAAACTCCTATTATTAATACCTTCTGCTACCTAGGCTGTCTCAAACAGGAATTATACCAGTCAGATACGTAATTTAGTTAATCCACACAATGCAACAAATGCTTTCTTCTGGAGGATTTTTTCTAGAACATTTAAATGCAAGAATTGTGCATAATGGAATTATAAAAGTAGCATTTCATTGCTTACAAGTGTGTCCCATCATCAGAACTAAGAATATACATGTTTCTTAGGCCACAAAGTTAAATTGACATACTTACTTTTCAGGAGTCATGTAGTCATCATCTACAGCAGCTAAAAATTAAAAAAACAAAAGACAAAACAGCATTTGGCAAACGGCAAACAAAATATAGTTGCTGTGACACTGGAACAAGACAGTAGGTTGAGTAGCACAGTAATCAGAGTGACAGCTATATTAAAAATCATATGGCAAAGAGGGATATTGACAGACAGATATCCAGGTGTAAACAATTTTTTAAGTTGTCTGTATGTCCTTTTTTATATGCAATTATTCCCTCTAGTTATTAGGAAACAGATGTAACAACAGGGAAACTTGTTGGCTCCCTGGGCAAAGTGGGGGAGGCTGAGCTATGCACACCCTGAAGGGACAAGACCTTGAGAGGAAGGAAGGGGCCCTCCAACTGTGATTTAAAGGGCAAGGGACTCCAGCCACCACTGCTGCCATCACCTTTTGAATCTCCGGGCCCTGCAGCAATTGCCCTCTTTGCCTCTCCTGTTGGCAGGCCTGGGGAATAAAGGGGTATTCAATCATCATAAATATCAATAGCTGGGTTTGAGGTGACAAGGAGAACCACATGGGGAATTTCCTGCAAAGTGCAAAGGTTGTGGACATCTTGAGGCATCCAAACAAAATGTGAGCAGTGCTAGGGAGAAGAAAGTGGTCATGGTAGATGTAGATACCAATGACATAGGGAAAGGTAGGAGGGAGGATCTGAGGGACAAATTTAAGCTACTAGGACTTCAATCTCTTTCCAGGGCTCCCATGGTAACATTCTCTGAAATGCTTCCAGTTTCACACACAAGGCCAGTTAGACAGGCAGAACTGCAGAATCTCAATGAGTGAATGAGAAAAAATGGTGTTTGGATGAGTGATTTAGGTTTATGAAGAACCCAGGAACCTTTTGGGGAAAGCTAAAAAAGAATTTAAAAAGGGAAGGGAGAGACAAAAAGTATTCATTAAAAATTCAATGTCAAATCCTAGTGAGGAAAATAGAAAGGAGCGGAAACTCTGGCAAGTCAAGTATAATATGACAGGCCAAAATATAATCTGAAGAGACACTAGATAAAACTAGCAGCAACTATGTGAGGCAGGTTTCCAGATCCTGATGCACTTAAAACAACAACAACAAAACCCCACATCAATAGTGCTGAAGTTCTTAAGAAGCACTCATGGAGGACAAAGCCATTGTGGAAAAGTTAAAAGAATTCATTGCAGACACTGTGGGTGATAGCTTTACAGCAAATCTGAAAAATTGTACCAGAGTTGTCAGTCAAGGAGGTTTAGGAACCAGTTGATAAATTAAAAGGCAAGACCAGATCTCCCAAGAGTTCGGAGGAAACTCAAATATAAAGTTGCACAACAAGCCATTGTGGTATGTAACTAATTACTTAACTCTAGGGTTGCCAGATGGTTTCAACAAAAATACCTGACACACTTGACATTACATTACAATCAAAGCCGGCTCAAGCTATGGGCTGACCAGGCTACTGCCTGGGGCGCCCCATTGTAGGGGGCACCACGTGGGGCTGCCAGACCAGGCTGGGGTGGGGCCACACATGCGCCAGGGGGCGGGGCTGCGCTCCCAGGGCCCGGGGCACACAAATGGCTCGGGCCGACCCTAATCACAATCTATATTACATCTTATTTAGAAAATACCAGACATGTATATTTTCTCAATTTGTTTCCTCGAACAGAAAGCTCAAATACTAGACTGTCCAGTTCAAAACCGGACACCTGGCAACCGTATTTAAATCAGACCTTGTACTAGGTGACTGGCAGATAGTGGTGACACTGATTTTTAAAAGAGGCTCCCAGAGGCGATCCAGGCAATTACAGTCCAGAAAGCCTAACTTCCCACCCTTCATTTTCTGTCTTTTAGCCTGTTACTGATCCACTGAGGACTTGCCCTCTTACCTGGAGAGCCTTCAATGAGCCCAAGTACAAGGTCTCTTTTAGAAAGTCTTTGATACTGTCTCCACTGGATCATCCTTATCCACATGCAATTTGTGGGGAACATCAAGTAATAGATTGGTGAGGCAAGATTTCCCATTAGAAAAAACATGTTGACTCTTCCAACACATTCTGTTCCTTTCTGTGTCTCAGTTCTATTTTTTACATAATTTCAACTGGTTTGCACAAATAAACAGTTCTCACTGTAGAGAGAGGGTTCCACAAGGCTCTGTACTGAGACCAGTGCTGTTAAACATTCATAAATCTGAAAAGAGGAGGGGGCAGAGAGGTGGCAAAAATCTTCAAACAATACAAAAAAGTTACTCAAGCTAGAGAAGTCCAAAACATACAAAATGGAGGATGAAATTTAGTGTTGGTAAGCATAATGCATATTGGAAAAAAATAATCCTAACTATACAAAGCATTGGGATCTGAATTAGCTGTTGCCACTCAAGGAAGGGAGACCATGGAGTCATCAACGATTATTTTCTGGAAGACATCCATTCTGTGTGCAGCAGCCATTAAAAAAAAAAAACTAGCAATGTTAGGAGCCATGAGGAAAGGAATACATAAAATAGAAAATATCATAAGGTTACTATATAAATCCATGATACACCCACATCTTTAATACTGCATGTCTTTCTAGTTTGCCCCATCTCAAAAGAGATAGATTAGAACAGGAAATGTACAGAAAAGGATATAAAAATGATGAAGGTCACAGAACAGTTTCTATTTGAGGACAGATTTAAAAGGCTGGGAACCTTCAGCTTGGTAAAGAGATGAGTAAGGGGAAATGAAGACAGAGGTTTATACAATCAGGAATGGGAGGGATAAAATAGCCATGGGGAAGTTGTCATTTACCCCTTCATATAAACACAAGAACTATGAGTTACTCAATGAAATTAATAAGCAGTAGGTTAAAAACAAAGAAATATTTCTCCTTGATAGGTACAGTCAACCTGTAGACCTTTTTACCAGGAGATACTCTCTGGATTAAAAAATAATTAGACATTTTCATAGAGGCTAAGCCCATCAATGGGCAATAGCCCATGCCCTGAGCATCACTAAACCTGACTGCTAGAAGTGGATGGCAGGAGATGGATCTTTCAGAAAAGTGAAATAGGTCTCTCTGAAATAGGTCAATGGCTCAGTGGACCATTGGTCTGACCCAATATGGCCATTCTCCTTTTGTGTATATAAATAATAGAACAGCAAAGGGAGTTGGCCAAGAAAGGGAGTCTACAGTTTTAAAAGAAAGCTTTCAACAACTAACAATCGGTGATCATTTAAATAGAAAATGCGAGAGCTAGAATGCTCATGGAAACTTTATTAATGGAGTCCCAGAACAAATCTTTCTGCAGAAAGCGCGCGCTCTCTCTCTCTGTCTCCTCTGAGAAAGTGTACCAAAAATAGCAGTGTCGTGCATGCTAGCCACACCAAGTACACAGAAACACAGGATCCAAGGGTGTTTGTACTTTAGCTAGCTAGCTCACCCCACAAGAAATTTTAGCATGCCACCGCTAATGAGAAGCAGACACGCTCCCGTGATGGATGGATAGCTACAGTGGCATGATTGCCAAAGGCAAACATGACTTGAGAAATTTTAATTATTATCCACAGAATACCACACATGCAGATCCAAGGAGTTAAGTTTACCCCAACCAATGCAAAAGTTCAGTTTTTCCAATGTTTGAGGGTTTAAAGCTTTACTTCTTAATTTAACATTTAAAAGGGGAGATTGGAGCACCAACATCTATTGATTGCATTGTGCATGTCCACAGCTGTAGACTCAGAAGTTTTGGGAACTTGACATTGAAACACTCAAGAGAGCGAAAGATCAACTAACATTTCGAGCAACAATAATCTGTAAAACAATACCTGGAAACTACAGCTGGTAGGAAAATAGCCTCTGTCCATGGGACATTTCAGTATATCAAAATTTTATTTTGATTCTAATCTGAATAAAGTCAAATATTTTCACAGAACAGAAATCCCGAAGAGCTTCAATTTTAAAAAACAGATGTAAAATGTGTAATATGTCAAAATAAAATGTTGATCCCCCTCCCCCTGCTTTCCATCAAAATCACCTTGTTCCCACAAAACATTTCAATATAGGGTAAATCTGCGCTCATGGTGGCATATAGAATACAGGTGCTACATATTCAGATAGCATAGATGTACCTACTACTTTGCTACTTAATGCATGTCTTAGGTGAGTAGAAAGCCCTTCATGCCTAAATCTAGGGTATATACACCATATAACTCTTTGTATGCCCAAGCAGTGCCTCCCCCCCTCCACACACACACACACACACACACACACGCACGCACACACTCTACTTTTAAAGCAGTATAGTATCCCACTGCCACTCCAGCAGTGGTGTTTTTCCCCCCCTGTGGTGAAAAGCTCTGGCAGTGAGGACAGGTTTTTGCAACAGAGAAGCGGGTGGGGCATGGGGACAGAGAAGGCTCCCAAAGCTTCCCCTGGATCCTTTCTGGGAAAAAACAAAAACTACAAACAGACAAAAACCATGAGGGACCTGTCCTTGCTGCCCTTTGCCCCAAGCCTTTTACTACCCTGTTTCTCTCACACCAGCCAGTGAGAATGCAAACAGTCTTCTAATGCAGCGTGCAGCTCATGGTGGCATGTAGTATAAACAAGGTCTCAGTTGAAACCATTTTCTGATGGGAAAACCATAAAATAAAATTTCAACCAGCTTTGCTAGAACTAAGACAAAAAAAAGCCTCTTACCAGTTTCATTCCTTCTGCCAACATGTAAAGCGGACTGCCGGAAGGCAGAGAGGTTGACTTTTGGGGGCCTTAGCGGTTTCTTCGGAGGAGAACCAAGAGATTGAACTGAAGGGAGTGGTTTAATTTTTGGAAGCTTTCTGTTCTTGACCTCAAGTTGCTTTTCTGGGCCAGAAGGATGGAGAAAAGACTCTGGTGCTGTTTGTAACAAGAGCCACAAGGATAATCAGTTATAATTATTCTCTCTCATTTCAAGTAAAAATTCATGCAGGACAGTGTTTACATTAACTGACATTCTTACCAACTTTTTGGCCACAGTTTAAAATTTGCCTAGTCTCATTTTCTACATTGACACATACTCAGCAAGGGGGAGAGGGGAAGGGGAACTAGTTCTTCAATGATACTACAGAATGAGTAGACATAAGTTGAAATAAGAAAGCAGAAGGCTCTTTGTTTCTTCATATTCTTATACAATTGGCCACATCTGAGAGAAATCTTTATCTGGATTTACTGTAAAATTATATTGAATTTTCTCTGCCAGTAACATTTAATTTTCTAGACTTCAGCAGTGTAACTTTTGAACATGCAGTTCCAGTAAGATAGCTTTCCAGAGTAAACCATGATTTACTCTTTTCAACATTTTGGTACTAAATCTGAAGCTGATAAAATTAATTTGCTGCTCCATGTCTCCCTGGGAGTATGTTGTTAGAAGGAATACCCAAAGGAGAGAAAGCATTCTTAGTTTGGACCTGAATGTCCCAAAGTTGGAGAATGTATGGATCTGAGGATTCAAAATGGCTCCATTTTAAACTCAAGAGTTACCTTTATATAAAAAGCAAATCCCTGGATTTTTTGCAGAGCATATGAAATGTGAATACTAGGACACAAGAAACCAGTCTGCCCTGCGTTCAGTGGTAAGAATAGGCAAATTGATTCAAATGAAACACATGGATCTTCCTTAACTCTGTTTCCAGAACTTGAACACACATACAAACCCTCCTGCCCCACTCCAGGTTTTAAAGGACCTAGTTAGCCAGTTACTCATTATCCTTTCTTTTCCTACCTAAAATCTGTTGTATGCCCCCTTCAATACCAGTTCTGGATAGGGAATGGATCAAGGGTGCTGGAACAATTTTTATAGTGTGGGTGCTGAGAACCATTGAACTCAAGGATAAACCCTGGATAGAATGGAAACCATTTCGAGTTAGGTATCAAAGCACCACTAGGTTTAACAAAAAAGGGGGTGGGGGTTCTCTCTGGAAGCCTGCTCAGTACTGTAGTGTTTAGGTACCCATCTAAACAGATGTCTCTCTTATGGGTCCACATTAATGTTCTGATGGCTAATCCTCAAAACTGGTAGAGTGAAAACCACAGCTGGAATCTGCCATAGAAATACCATCTAACAATTCTGAGATGATGGTTTTACCTTTCAGATACTGCGAGATCTCACTTGGCTTGTGGGGATCATAAGCAAGCTGAGAGAATCCAGTCACCTTCGTGTTTTGCTCAGTTCTTTTGTAGCCTCTGGATGGAAGGAGAGATGATGCATTCTGAGAAAGTACAGGAGTTCTGCTGGGTGAAGAGTTCTTTGGAGTAGAGAAATCCAGGACGTGCTCCTTCCCTGCACTTCTAATTTTGCTGTTCTCAGCTGTGATGGTAGAGTTCAAAGCCCGTAAGGGAGTAGAATGATTCCCATTCATACCCTGTGGTGTTATAAACCCTGCACATTTTCTGTCATCCTGAGTTGAAGCACTTTCCCAGATCTGCAGAGTATGACGAAAGGAGTTTTTTATCAATGCTTCCTCTGAATTTGTATTAACACCTGCCTGCTGATAAATGCAAGAAAGTGGACGGGGTTTCTGTGAATCCCCTCTAGGAGTTGCATCTTCACAGACAGCTCTCTCCAAGACTTTCTTCTTTGGCTCTTCATTCTTTCCTGCTACATACAAGTTCCCAAGCTTGACTCTAGGAAATAGCAAAGGTTTGGACTGCATGAGCTCTGAGCTATGCACAGCTAAACAAACTCTCTCCTCGTGTTCTGATATCGGTATTTTCCCGTGGTTTAGGATTCTAGGACTGGACACACCCTGTGTGTCGGTGCTGGGTAGGTGTAAACTTTCCACAGGAGGCTTCTTGGCTGGCTGTGGCACCATCTTTGAAAAGCAGGAATCATTTTGAAATTTTGCTCTGAGCACTCTGAAGTCACCTATTCCTTCCTAAAGGAGGGGGAAGCCACAAAAAGTTTATTGGCATTCTCCAAAAAGGCAAAAAACAACAAATGGCCCTGCAAATAGTTCATTTGGAAGAAAGTAGAATTTAATAGCATGTTTACAAAACATCATATGAATTGCCAGAGGGTGCAGATAATATACCTATCATCCAAAACTAACCACAATAGAAGAGCATTATTAAGTCTTGTGTGTCTTAATTTAGGCAAGCAACTTCAGCATAAAACACATTCTCCCCCCTTATGCCTACCTCAAAAGGAGCAAACAACATGTCTTGCAGGTACAGAGACAAAGTGGGTGATATACAGTAGTACCTTTTTTAAACTAATTTCTGTTGGGCCACATCTAGACTGCAAGCCTCTTTCGAAAATATCTTTCGAAAAAGGCTCTTTCAAAAAAGAGCGTCTAGACAACAAGAAGATTTTTCAAAAAAGCGGCCTGCTTTTTCAAAAGAGCGTCTAGTCGCTCTCTTTCGAAAAAGCCCTGTTTTCATGCAATAACTCCTTTTTTCGAAAGATGACTTTTGAAAAAAGGCGTTATTCCTCATAGAATGAGGTTTACCGCTCGAGAAAACCTCTGCATTCTTTCGATTCACTGTCGACAGAACGCGGCGGTAGTCTAGACGCAAGTACAATTTTTTTGAAGAAAAAAAAAAAAAAAAAAAAAAAAAAAAAAAAAAAAAAAACAACTTTTTTTTTAGGAGAGAAGCCAAACAAGAATGCTCCACCAAAGGAGTAGATCGCATCATGGAATGGGCCACTCAAACACTCCAAGAGAATTTGCTTCAATACAGAAATAAAATCCCTTCTGACCACACACCTATTTGTCACCTGCTACTTCAGACTGGAATCCCTAAGGAATATCAAACAGCCATCACCCCTACTCAATGAGGATTCCATCCAGGTCTCAAACTACCCCACAGCCTCTCCAAGAGCATCCTCAGTGGCAAATCCCACACAACATCAAACGAAAGTGGCATCAGACCCCAGCAGGTCGGATGTCAGCAGGTTCTGTATATCTCCACAGTTCCATGGATCTTGAAAGGTGTTGATTGTTGTATTCTCCACATGCCTATCACAACATGTGATGTACCTCATCCAATGCCCCAACAACAGCTATGTGGATGAAATAAGACAATCGCTACACTCTTAAATGAACTCACACAGGAGACACACAAAACTACTCTTATCGCCAGCGGATACAACACAATCTCACTTATATCATTCGTTGTCCTCAAAAGAAACATGAGCAGTGGAAGCTTAAATTCATTACTCTGCTAAACATTGAAAGTCCTGAACAGAAACACTGCTCTAATGTGCCATAAATCCAACCAGCAACCCTCCTAACCCCCTCTTTTTGTCCTCTTTCAACAGAGGTGTTAATGAGCCACTCTACCTCAAATGGCCCCTTGCAATATCTGTTCCACCTTGCATTTTTGCTGTGATGCTGGGAATACATTTCCCAGACTGGAGGAAGAGCTGTGTGGTTCAAAACCTTGCCCTTCCCATCAACAGCAAAAGCTGTGATCTCACCCTTTTCTCTGTCGTATCCTGGGACCAACACAGCTAAAGCTGCACTAGCTAGTGACCTGCATAGACACGGATCGGAAAATAGGTGCAGTTGTACTTGTTATCCTGCAAAGCACTGAACACACCAATATCCCATTAAAGACAATGGGGGCAGAAGCCAATCAGATCACCTGGGATCAGGGCCTAAGTGAGACACAAAGGTTTAGGACTCCAGAATCATTAATAATGAGGGAGGTGGAGGTAAGAACTATGATTCAATAATACCTTTGAATGATGCACAGTGAAAAGAGTCCTGGAGGGAGTTCTGAGATAACTAGACGCATTCATACCAGACACATTCATACCAGAGAGCCTAGTTTAAGCAGTAAGTGAGCCAAAGATTTCTTCATATCAAGGGCAAATTTCACACACACATCTGTGAGGATATATTTTAGGTAACAAGACAGCTGCATACACTGAATGGGGGAAATAATGAAGTTATCTTTTCAGCTGGAGTAAATTGGTCACAACTGGTCCTACTGACCTCATCAATAATACTTGAGGCTAAGTTGTATCATCTTAGACTAAGCAGTAGTTCAACTCATTCTTTTCTCTCATGTTAGTGCAGTATGGAAATTGTATCAGATTTCCAACACATTCCTTTATCTTCAGATAGAGATTACCCCTATTCAGAGTGCCAGATGAACACATAACATGGGGTAGGAAAGACAATAATATATAGTTAGTAAAAGCAAATTGAACCCTTCCAGAAAGAAACCTGAAAGTCAAAATGTGGGGGGAAGGGGGGGAGGGGTTAGGATACCATTATTTCTGTTTTTGCCTGAAAGATTAACAATTTGTTGTTTTCAAATGCTAAGTTTTTAAAACAGGTGTGGGAAAAGTTTGGTGAGCTTTTTAGATTTGTCCCATTTTGCCCCAGGCATTTTGCTGTACCATGATGAAAAATAAGGAGTCTGATTTTATCCGCAATACCCTCTTTTGAATTCGGTCCTGGGCAAAACTAAAAAGAGAGCCTGATGTCAGATTTATGAGCTACTCACATCCTTGAACTGCTCCATAAAACTTGTTATATGCCAGGATTACATTAGGTGCACCAGTTTAGCTCAATGCAAAGAATTGTGATACTTCACCATAACCTGTCTAATGAGGAAATTGGAAAAAATAATTTAGGACAGAAATTCATTCTTTCAGGTTCGAGGGGGGGAAGCATATTTTAGACCCTTAAAGTTATGGCAGAACAAATGAATGGCATACTGAGGTTTTACTGAAGTTATTAAACACTATTTCTCTTGAATAACACCTTTAAGTAACATTACTCCTTTCACACGACAAATCTACCCCTAGAGGAGAGTGAATTGCTTCAATTGTATTTCATATTAGGGATCAGCTGTGTGGTGCGCTAGGAGAAGCTTGACTCGTCTATTACAGAGTTTAAAGGGAATGGAGATTTCCAGACAGAAAGAAAACCGATTCACCCTCTAGCCAAATCACCACAGAGAGCCATGACTACAAATAGACAATGGGACAAAATAAGGTGCCCTTGTTTCTCTTGGAGGGACACCAAGCAGCTGTGTATACTGAAGCTACAGCTGAAGTACTTAACACTGTTTATAGCACCTTAAACACATTTCAGGTGTTTGAGAAACTGGGTAATACAGTTGCCTATGTCTGATGGAGGTGAGGAAACAAGGGGTTTTTTGTGCTTATAAATGCAATCAGCATGGTAAGCAAGGCATGTCACCTTTGGTACAATGTACCTAATTCATTAAACTCATGCCTGTTTGTTAACCATCACATGGCATAGTTGGAAGGAAAGAGTTAACTATTCTGTGTCCTCCCTTTCCCCATTCTTGCCTTAATTAAAAGGGATGTGAAAAAAAATCCCTCTTTCAAATGGCAACTATAAGCACTTTGCTTAATTAATTGACAGGTTACATAGTTGCACCCTGGCTTCTTTAAGTGTCTGTACTCTGCTGAGATGCTATTTTTCCACTTTGCAAAGGAGGAGTCTAGGAATGAAGAGTGCTTTTTAAAAAGTCAGATGTTAAAGCTTTATGCTAACTGCAGCTATACTATTTTAGATTCTCCTATTCCTCCCCATCCCTTCCACACAGAATCTTGGAAAAGCAATATGTTACAAACCTTTCCAGATTCAGGTTGTTGGTGCTTTTTTCTACATTTTCGGTGCTCAGGAAACACAGACCTAGGAAAGGTAGTTCTTGTATGTATGGCAGCGTCAAGTGTGGGTAAATCATTCATGGCAGCATAATCACAGAGATTATGCCTATTTATGAAGTATAACAATTCAGGCCTGCTGACGGGGGTGGAAGGAGGGAGAAAGGGGAAATTGTCCCAGGGCCAGGTGATTCAAAAGGGTTCAGGGTTCCCAGCCCTCACTGCAGTAGCAGCAACTGGAGCCCCGGGCTCTTAAAATTACTGTCAGTAGGAGGCAGCACTAAAGGCTGGCCGGGGGGACTCAATGCAGTATTGAGAGCTGGCTGGCTGCCTGAGCCCCGCCCTTTCTGCTGGAGGTCCCACCCCCACTGGACGCACAGGCTGTGTCTACACTGAGCCACTTATTCCGGAAAATCAGCCGCTTTTCCAGAATAAGCTGCGAGCTGTCTACACTGGCCCTTGAATTTCCAGAAAAGCAACGACGCTGTACTGTACAAAATCAGCCGCTATTCCGGAAAAACTATTCTGCTCCCGCTCGGGCATAAGTCCTTATTCGCACCTTGCTGTGTGAAATGTTACATCAGTTCAATTGTTACGGGGGTTACAGAATTGCTGAGTCTCTGGGCAAAGTGGGAAGGGGGAACTCTGTGGCTACGTCTACACTGGCATGAATTTCCGGAAATGCTTAAAACAGAATAGTTTTCGTTATAAGTATTTCCAGAAAAGAGCATCTACATTGGCCACAGATGCTTTTCCGGAAAAAGGGCTTTTCGGGAAAAGCATCTGTGGCCAATGTAGATGCTCTTTTCTGGAAATACTTATAACGAAAACTATTCTGTTTTAAGCATTTCCGGAAATTCATGCCAGTGTAGACGTAGCCACAGAGTTCCCCCTTCCCACTTTGCCCAGAGACTCAGCAATTCTGTAACCCCCGTAACAATTGAACTGATGTAACATTTCACACAGCAAGGTGCACATAATGGAGGCTAGACCAAGTCTGAAGGAGGATACTCTAGAACACAGCAATTAATGGTGGTGATAAAGAGAAGGGATGGGGAGGCTCTTTAAACAAACACACACACCAGCAACACAGCCCATCTCAAGCACACACGAATCCTCTAGAGCCCTGTTTCACAATAGAATCCATGGTTGCCCTGCACCCTCACCAATCTATTAGGTGTCTTAGGGTTCTCCTGGTAGGGCCACAGCTTCCTCAAATCCCCATGAATTTCAGGAGGAGAAATAGGGTGTGGTTCAGGCTCTTTGCCGAGACAGCATCCAAAACACAATGTGGTGGGAAAGGAAACCAGCACACATGGAGAGTATCCTGCAAAGACTGGCATGGTGCTGTTGTGATCATTGGGTCTATACATTTATGCTTACTGTGAATTCAATTGTAAAACGTGAGTAATTTGGTAAGATGTCACAATAATCTATAAAAACAACAAAATGTTGGTGGGAAGAGTTGCAGAAGGGAGACAAAGACTGAATCAATCCAAACGAAAAAGCCTCCTGATTCTAACCCAAGGACTGTGTTGAGAGGATGCCTGGTGAACAAGAAATGCGTGGAACCAGAAATGTGTGGAACCAGAATTGATGTATTGGAAACTAGACTGAACTCAGACAAAATGACGACAGGACAGTCCACCCACTACTCCCTTGGATGATTTAAGAAAAGAGTTTGGATAGAAAACTTGGCTACTGGAGTGACATTCACTATTATGGCTACCACTACACCCCTTTTCCCCCAAGCCATTTTGAGAGATGTCCTCACCAGATTGTGCCAGATCAGTCTACAGATGGGCAAATTTTTGCTCCACTCCCATCGGCAGCCCTGCCAGTAGGGTCCAGCAGGGCAACCAACAGGAGGTGAGCAGAAAGGGCAGCTGTCCTTGGGCCTGCAGATTTAAAAAGGTCCAGGGCTCCCAGCTGCCATGGCAGTGGCCAAGAACCCTGGACTCTTTAAATATTGTTGCTGCAGCTGCAGGGCTCCTGGCCATTGATTGTGAAGAACTGGCTGGGGGGGGGGCCAGCCCTACCCCTTTCAGGGATCCAGGCCTGCCTTCCCTTGCTAGGGGTGATGGGACCAGTGCTGGGTGTGCCAGTAAGTCCTAGCATCTTCTTTCACCCCAGAGAGGAAGTCCTATGACATTACTCACCCCCTGGAATAGGAGACTCTCCTCTCCCTTTCCTTTCTCGCTTTACATCTCTTCCCTTTTTTCCTTCTGTTTAATGAGAGGTCAGGTTAAGCCTGACAAGACAACCTTTTTTTTTTTTGCCTGTGTTTCACCAGCAGCAAGTTTGCAGGTGAGAGTCAACACTGGAGACAGAAGCTGTTTTCTCTACCTTGGCTGTTCTTCTCTCTCCCCTCTCATGCATCTTTTTTGTTCTGTAGGAAGAAGGCTTGGACTTCATTGGCTATACCACCAGCTCCAGCCCATCTCAACTGACTTCTCTTTTCCTCAAAAGGATAATTTCAAAATAGCCAATTCATACCATCTAGCTGATCAAATAAGAGAATCTTT